CTCCTCTCAGGGAGAATCCACGTGAAAGAGGAAGTGCTAGTCCAATCCCCAGTGGTTCCTCTCTTGAACGTCTCCTGTTCTTCCCAGAGAGCCTTGTTAAGCAGAAGATTTCATGGTTCAGTCAAAGTCTTTGTATTTGGACTGTTGCTGGAGCACCTGCTTTGATGACTTTTCTCAACCAAATTATTATTTTCACGTACCTGTACATCTAAAGGGCCTCAAACATGGGGGGAGACAAAAAGTATTGCTAAACGTGTATGTATGCGTGCGTTTTTCCAAACAAAATATGCTTAAATGTGTGAGATGAGAGGATACCTGCAGACAAGTTCGCTCAGTAACAGGCATGTCGTAGTCTGATGAGGTAGGGTGCTGTCAGTGAGAACCATGACTGCTAAGGAGCTACACTGGGCTAGTTAAATTCAAGACAGAGACATTAGCATAGAAGCTTAAAGGGGTTGAGTTTTGGGACTCCAAGGGGGCCGTCTTCATCAATGTTTCTAGGAGAAAGATGCCTGACGTTTAGTTTTTAAATAAGTGAGGGATTGTACATCGCAAATTCCTGTATACTAATTGTAAGATAGGCAGGTCAAACCCCCCAGCTACTCCGCAAGAGTAAAGGGAGGCTGTCTGATCCTGTCTAGAAACACCACGAGTCAAAATCAACCCCAAAAATGGCACTGGGTTTGGTTTTTTTGTTTGGTCAGGTACACCAGGTCAGCCAACTTTTGTCTTAAGAGTTAGGATTAAGTGTGCTTCTGCTACATTCAATGAGATGTCCCATGAAAACCAGAAGTGCCTTGGGTTCTAGTTCTGTCTGGAAGGAGAACTGGGGAAAGATGGCCAATATGGAGAATCCGTCAAATATTTAAACCAACAAATCGGGATGCAGCAGGCACGTCATTCTATTCATCAAGGAAAATGGGTACTATGTTCTTTAAAAAGCAGAATCTTCTCGAAAGCTATCCATAATAATGTTTCTGGCTGGTACAAAGAGTGCCCCAGTAGGGAGCAGCACCGCAGAGCTAGGAGACCACAGCAGCCAGGACAAACGCCATGTATCTCTGGGCTACTGATCATAGGACCCATCAAAGGAAGGAAGAGATGAAGGGTGAATCGGCTCCCTCTCACAGCCAGGTACCTTGCTAAGTGTGATTTCATTTCCTTTCAGCTTCCCCATAACACTGTGAGGCAGTCAGGCTTCCTCTGCTGCATAATTGAGAAAACTAAAGTTTCCACCCAACCAGGAGCCCTGGGGGCAGAATGGGTTGGTTACATGTTGGGTTAATGGGTTGGTTACATGTTGGGTTAATGGGTTGGTTACATGTTGGGTTGCTAACCACAGGTCAGCAGTTCAAAACCTCGGCAGTTTCTCCTTGAGAGAAAAACAAGGTTTTCGATTCCCGTAAGGAGTAAGGTGACCAGATTTAGATATTGGTAAAGTGGGACACCATTGATAAAATTCATATCCTGGTGAAATAGCCACATGGCAGCCGAAAACCGTATACCCTAGTTTGTCGTGCATTCTTTCCAAAAATCTGGATTTTTTTAAGATGCTGCAGGACGCGGGACAAATTACTAAAAATTGGGACTGTCCTGCCAAAAGCAGGACATCTGGTCACCTTAGTAAAGAGTTACAGTCTCAGAAACTCACAGAGGCAGTTCTGCCCTGTCCTAGAGGGTCACTATGAGTAGGAATGGATTCAATGGTAGTGACGCTTAGAGACATGTATATCAAAGATACCAGGACTGCTGGTTCATTTATACATACACATGAGGAAGCTTTGAAATCTGTGTGCATATGTGTGTGTGTGTATAAATGAATCAGTATTCCCGGTACCTTCAGCAGTATTTTTCCAGCGCAGACCCTGTTTGGCTGGGGGATATTCAACAACTCTGACTTGTAGCACATGTGCAGCGTACCCATCCAGAGAGCAAAGGAGCCAAAGTGAATATTTTTCAAGTAGACCTTCTTCTGAGTGATTGCATGTGTACCCTTCATGTGCAAAGTACAAGCGTTTCTAAAGCACAGTCAAGCACAGGGTCTTCAGAGATCATGAAAGTTTTATTAACAAAGAAATGCTGCATTATCCACATTATCCTTTAAAAACAACCACTTCAAACATGTCAGCAACACTTGGTTTTCCACTCACCCATTCATCAGCACCGGGAGAATGAACCCACCACACCCAGGTACAGGCCGAGAGTCTTGAAGGGGAGCAACATTGGCGACCATAAAGCACTAGGAAGTCAGAAGCAAAGAGGCAAGGTTTTCCTGTTTCATAGGCTGAACCGCTAAGCCGTCATCCACATGAATGTTTCCACTGTGAGCCCATACATTTGGCCATCAATTCTTCTTATTGCTTAGCTCAATATACAGTGCGCAACTGAAAAGTTGACCAGCTTCGTGGAGTGTAGTAAAAATGAATTGCCAGCATGTTTACAGTAATCTGTGTCTACATAGCAGCAGGTCGGAGTCAACTAGAGAATAGAAAATAAGTCTCATAATAAGAAAGGCTCGTGTTTGGGGGGCATCTTTGAAGTCCTTTTGTGAGTGCCTTGAACTATCCACTCTCTATCATCACCCCTCAGAATCCCCCTTAAGTACCTGTTACCCCACCCATTCACTAAAACAATATATATTTTTAAAATTCTAGCTATAGTGCATGCACAAGGGGACACAAGAATGCTAAATAGGTTCTGATGTCCTGATGTTCCATGAATGGAAAACACAGAGACAGTGAGATCTCTCGGTTGGAACAAGCTGGTGTGAGTAGCTGAAAATCCCTCGGATCATATAGACTTGAGTCCAAAGAGGAGGAAAAGCATTTAAGCCTGTTACTTAACGACAGTTTCTAGGGCCCTGGGGTAGCTATATTTTTAGGCCTGGCTCCAAGGAGCTGCCTACACAGATTTGGATGGTGCGAGGTAGGCACAGATGGTGGTCACGTGAAGGCACAGACCGATCCGGTGGGCTCCGTTACAAAGTCTGTCCATTCAGGCTGCTGTATTCCTCCTATTTCAAGTACTGCCAAGTCCCAGCTGTTCTCCCTCCTTCCAAAGTCTTGATTCATTTAATTCTCCTGAAGGAGGTGGAAGAGGAGGAGAGTTGCGCAAATCTTACTGTTTTATGGCTTAGAAGAGACAATCACCAGCTTGGCTCCTTGTCAGGTTTTAAATGTAACATTTTGCTAAGTGTAAAGCTGTGTATCTGGTCCTTTTTCTGTTGCCATTATTGTAACTTCAATATTTGCAAAACACAACATCAAAATACTTCAAATCCAGCGCAAAGCAGTTTGTTATTCATGCAACACAATTCTTACATATATCAAATACACCATGAGTTCCCACCACAGGAATCTTTTTGCTCTTTTTAATTTTTATGTTCTTGGTTCCTTCTATTTACTTACAATTTCTTTCGCCCTCTCTCTTTAGGGATTCCAGAGTGATTTTCTCACACAATAGCAAAATCCCTAGGTAAATCTTAATATGTATATGTTGACTATAAACAAACGCGCCACCAGGTCAGTCCCTGTTGGTTATAGTATATATAGAAAAGAAGGAAGTACATATGGTAACCTCAGTCTACCCTTGAAATCGTGTAAAAGAAAGCACCTTAGTGATGGGCAGAATTTTAAATTCCAGATAACAACCCGCTGTGCTCACTATAAAAGTTGGTGAAAAGATGCGGGGTGCTCGTCCAGTGGTGCGTGCGTTCGTGTTAAATGGCAGTACGGGCCTAGCTTTCCAATCTTTCAAGAACAGTCTACGGCATGTCAGCTTCTCTGTCACTTTCCTCTCTCTGCAGAAAACCATCTTACAATCAAAATGGCTTCAATTATTCACGCTTGTTTTTTTAAAAAAAGATTGCATAAGTGTGTTTCGGATCATCATTAAGATCCTTGATATTCCACAGATGTGATTTTCTTTTTTTTCTCTTTTTGTCTAATCGAGACTCGTGTTCCAGCTTCTCATCCTCAAAGTGCCAGTATCCTTCTTGGCCTGGACTGACGTGTACACAGGCCATTTTTCAAGCCAGTTCAAAACATAAAAAGGTTTTAACATCTGTTAATCAGGTTTTTATCTGGAGGACCTAAGAAAACATTTACAGCCCTCCAGCTAGCCGACTTAACCTTTCCCTTACTTGATGGATCTTTTCATTGTATCGATAGTGAGACTACTATCGATTGTTAGGGAGCACTACCATGATCCATCATGGTAGCAGGGCCTTAATGGGTGAAATCCGTCACCCACTATCAAAGGCAAGCACAAGAAACGAGTTCCGATGAGGGTCGAATGCCATAATTCATAAAGTGTATCAGGAGGCAGGGTGGGGAGGCAAAGCTACTTTGATTATTACCTTGCATTTCAGATTTGGGCTGAGCACACTCCTGGAGCAAGGCCTTGCTGCCATTTATGCTACCTGGTTTCCCTTTTGAACCTGTGCCTTGAAACCATGACATCATTCAGAATTTCACAATAACAGTAACAAAACAGACAAGCCTCCCACTACAGGGCACTTGTGCTTTGTTAAACCAGTCGCTTCAAAATAAAACTAAACAAAAAATGTCCTCCGAGTTATAATGGCATCGCTCTAATAGGCTCCAGAGCATTGCCCCCCTCTCTCTAGGGCATGCACACAAACCAGTAACAGAATGTGGTGTTAAATAGAGTTTGGGGAAATTGAACGTATCAGCATTTGTTCTGTCTTCTTCAGGAATACTTAGCCGCAAAAAGGTGCTTTATAACAGAATACAAATGTGTTATTTTACAAATATTTCCCATTACAAATGCTCTTGTTTTTGTTTAAATGGATGCTTCACCTGAGCTATCCCGCCTCCCCCCCAGCTTCTTTGTTTCCCCTTATAAAGCCTCGCATTCAAAAGACTCTTATTCAGGAGAAAGAATCTTTAGTCCCCCTCCTTTGTGAGAGTAATTCCTCCTAACAGCGGCAGTCCTGCAGAAGTACATCCAGGGCTCATTAAATAGGCTTCTGAGCATAATCATAATTAACAATTAGCCAGAAATTAGTTTTAATGATTTGTTTCTTACAATAGAATAGAAGCATAATACAATTATGTTTAAACCTGCTACATCGTTAAGAATACAACGACTAACACCTTTCAGTTATTGAAAACCAGACAGCCATCAAAGCATTTACTCCGTGATCTAGTTAGTGCCAAACGGAGCCGTAAAGGCCGCTGCCCCAGCCCAGGTGTTTCTAATTATTGTGCTTTTTGCAAAGACGCGTCCTATGCTCCTCTGCGCCTACAAGCTAGTTCAGGTCTTGAGAACGTCACTACCAGGGAAAATAGAGACCTAACCCAGTTGTTCAGCTCTTTCTCTACCCCTGACCCCCCTCCTAGACATAGTGCGAATGATGGAGGGAGATAGTGAGGGCCGGAGGAAGTCTCAAAAAGTTAGCCAGTGGGCCTGAAATGCCTGCTCACCCCATCCAATTGGAAGGAAGAGGACATCTTTTATATCACTACTGGATGGGGAGGAGTACTCAGGGTAAACTCCAGGCTCTAAAGACAGAGCTGTGCCATTTCTCTCCCACCTTGTGTTTTACTATCCCAAAGTCAAGTTGGATGGGACTTGCCTCATAAGAATTGTTTAAAGTTCTATAGAAACCTGAAAAAAAATGCTCTTTCTTTTTTCTGGGAGAAAAGTATAAAAAGATTCATTTGGGAACCAGTGACGGTGAGCCATGGTCAAAAGTGGAAATTTTCTTTCTTCTTTAAAAATATTGTTTTTAAAACCACAGTTAGTCAATGTGCTGCTCTCCCATCTTTGAGCAAGGATGTTAGACCTTTTGCTGCTGCCCTTTGGAAGTTGTTAGGGAGCACATCCTGACACCCACGTAAAAGACCTGGTACCTATGTTTCCACATCACAAAGCAGGCCAACAAGCACACCAGGCTGCAGACCAAGTTAAGAATCATCTGGATGAGTAAGTACAGTTTGAAAGTGCTAGTGAGGCTGGTACAGTCCGTTACATCCCGGTAAACGAAGGTCCTGCTGAGCGGCTCCGAGGAGGGCAGTTTGCACTGGCAGGAGCCGGGGGCGGGTTTGCAGGTGAACTGTGTGAGCTGCGAATAGTGGTGGGCGGCAAAGGCTACCGCCAACACGCAGACCATCAAGGCGAGGGCGCTGAGCAGAAAGTAGAACAGCTGCAAGAAAGCAGAAGAAAGCCTTTCCGGTTACGAAGAACACGGAGTGACTATTTACAAGGCTAATGAATCAACACTGTTCCTTTTCTTCTCTTGTCCCCAGGATATTCCCCAATGAAGGACTCCCTGCCCCCAGAAATTAAGTGCCCAAGGTATGGAAATGTCTCTATGTTGATTAGTGAGAAATCTTCAACGCTGATCACCTCCGTCTTTGCCACACAAGGGCTTATCGTGCATTGTGTCACTCAGATTAGCTTGATGGTGGGATGCTTGTGTGTGCACGCAGTAAGGGGCTTAGATGAATCCCAGACAAGATAGTCATCCCTGGAAGGCATGCTTGCCTTATTTTTACTTCTAGAATTGCTGTTACTAAGACTGAAACAAGACTAGGAAGTAGAGAGGGTTCTGTAGTTCTAAGATGGCGCTGGCCAAAATTAGCAAAGATTGGTCAACCAATAAGCAAGCTAATAACAAAAAGCACTGTGTTCAATGCAGTGCTTCAGTGCACCTATGAAAACCAAGATCCCAAGAGGTTGCTGGGAGGGGGAAAAACAGCACAGGAGGCGCAGCAACTTGATGTCAGTTTCCTCACCTCTCTATCTCATTCCAAATGCAACCACCAGGCGCTCGCTCCTGTTCATGTGAAACAAACCATTGCCCTACATGTTGGTCTTTGGATTGGAAAATTCTGGGTTAAGTTCTTGCTTAGCTGCTAAGTGGCTATGAAATCCCCGAATGCTTGATTGAGTTGGCCTAGGCCTGAAGTATTATGATTTTAAAATTGGGCAGGGGAGGGGATCCCTGGCATGACCACAATAAAAGCTGTTTTTCAGGATGGGAAAGGTTCTTGTGATTGGACTCATCTACTGGAAACGTGTCTCTCAATATCCTCTTCCTCAGAGGCTCTCAGTGCAGAGAAGGGTCTTCCGGTTTGGAGACCAGTGTACCCACTACAGTTCCTAGTGAAAATCATATTTCCACCATCAATACTTGCTTCTAATAAATAGGAAACCTACAACTGGAGATTAGCTCGGATCATGAGGTGTTGCCTCAACTTGTCCTGTCTCAATCCACAAATAATTCAAATGTGACTGCCCCAAACACCCCAGAAAACAACATATTCTCTATGAGCATCACCAAAAACCATTTGCTGAAGTGGGGATTTTCTTTATCTTTAAAAGATGCACCTTCTGGCTCTGAGATACGCTTACTGGTCCGAGATATGCTTACTGGCCCAAGACCACCGAGGAAGTGCCCAGCAATCCTGGGTGATGGCTCAGGCGGTGACCTGGCAGCCAGGCTGCCCAGGTGGGAATCCTGGCTCGCCAGGCCCTCCCCTCAAGAGTGATGAGACTTTGGGCAAATTAACCAGTGTCACGATGACCACTTGAATCTTCATCTGTAAATTTGGAATGACGGTCATAACCATGCCTGCATCCTAGGATGATTATAAGGATCAAAAGAGTTTATCAAGAGCTCAGGGCCTGGTCCATAGTAGCACTATTTAAGTAGTTGTGAAGCATATAGATAAATTAGTAGAGACAGAGGCTACCAGTTCTAGTGCTACCGGCTAGAAAAGCTGGCTTTGTCGTATTGTCTGACACATAGGAGTCAAAAGCGCATCCTAGGATTAGAGGAAAGATGTACACATTTACATCAACACAGCGAAGGCTAGGTTTTAATTGAACATCTTAAATTTGCCAGAAGACAACAGGAGCGCAAAGAAGCCCATGTGTTATCGCCTTTGGATCCGAACAAATTAACCTGGGTGAGCACCCCGCCCTCCCACCCCACCCCCGTGGCAACACCAGGCCAGGTATACGGGAGCTCGCCACCCGTTTCATCTCCATCTTCAGCCAGAAATAGAGGCTCGCTGCCCATCGCCTGTGGGTGACGTCTGCAGAAGCGCCCTAACATTTTTCCTTCAAGGCTTTTAACTCAGCGGATGGCAACCAGCTTCTGGGTGAGAATCTGTCATTTAAGAGCAAGTGGCTTGTTTTACTTACACAGCACGAATAAACTATCAACGAGAGTGTTTACGATGACCTTGGGAATCCGAGCAAATCTATCCTGATAAAACCCCCGCTCGGGATACATTTGTCTTGCCCGTGTCGGCGTCAATATCAGTGTCTTGAGGCGGGCGGAGGCGGCGGCCTGGCTTATGTAACCGCAGCGCGGGTGCGCTGCTCGCGGCCGCCTCTAATTGGTACCCGGCTGCAGCTTGAACGCACTTGGGTGACTTGCGGGAGGAGGGTGGATCGGCTTCTATTTAATTCTCTTCCCAGGTGGCATGAATGGAAAGGGCCCCTCTGCGGGCCGTGCTGCTCGGGAGGAGGTGGTGGCTGCAGCCTCGGGGCGATTTTGCCTTAAATGTCCTCGTGGGAAATGTGCCCTGCAATGTTGCCGCAAGCACATGAACCGGACACGTTTCAGAAAATCAAGGTGAGCCCTGAGAAAGCCGGGCCACGTGTGAGGAAAGGCGGGTGGCCCATCTGCAGCTGCAAAGCCTGCTGAGCCCGGGGGCAGCCCAGACAGAGGAAGCGGAAAGAGCTGTGGGGACCAGGGGCCCTGCAGGAGATTGTCCTAGCAGGACAGGACAAGGCTCTCCGAGGGGCGGGGGGAGTGTGTGGTGTGTAAATCCATTGTGGAACAGTGCTCCATCCAATTTAATGTCCTTAGGAAGCAGTTGTGCTGGGAGAAACACTTTATGCCCCCCTCCCCCCTCCCCCCCCAGGTGGTGTGAGCAGCAGGGAAACTGGGAGACGGACTGAAGCCCATTTTGGACCTGAAGATGAGACAGTGCACCTTAGCGAGCTGGCAGCCTGCATCACATCACGAAAGGTCACATTCAGGAGGGAAGCGCCTCCCTATTTGTCAATGTCTGTCACAGGTGAGGAAGAAAGGTAGCTAATGAGATCTTCCTGGTGGGGAATTCTCAGCCTGTCTGACATTGGTACTGACTTTTTACTTGATTTTCTTCTTTGCCCTTGAGCCTTATTTTAAGGAACGTGCAGATGTGGGGGTGGCTTTGGGGGTCCCTCTGGGGCAGAGTTGTTTGCCTCTGCTGTTTCCTGGGATCACCTCCAGGAAAATGAGGGCATGGCACGTACACGGATGAACCCAGTGTGGGGTGTTTTTCACCTGGTGAATGAAATTCCTGTAATGTAGCAAACTGGCCATTCTGGGTCTTTTTTAAAAAATCGTCAAGTCCTGCTGCTTAGTCAGACTTCTAGCAGAAAGCCAATTGAAGAGTCTCCTCTGTCTGGCCTTCTTCTTCTAAGGAAAAGGCTCCAAGAGGTAAAGGAGACTTCCAGCCATAGGCTTCTCTGCCAAAATGCTAACTCCCGCCCTAGTTTCCCTCCAGATCGCATCATGCATTCTTTTAATTAGAAAAAATATAGCTGCTTAAAAACGTTTCAGAATTAAAGAAAAACCAATTCAACCACAGGTGATTCTATCAGCTAGCTACTTCCAGGCACATAATAGCGAGGTTGCTTTTTGTTTCTGTGTTTTGTGGTCTATTGGTCTTTCCATGTAAAGTCATACCATGCCAACATCAGGGCACAGCTTTTACAGGCTAACTGTTCAATTACACTCAAATATATTAACATTCTTAATTTTGTTTATCTTCATCATTTCCAAATCACATATTAACTTAGTGGTCTGCCTTATACTTCTAGAGCAATAAGAATGCACCTCTAAAAAATAGCAATACAAAAATCACAGAAAGCTTTTTGTTCTCTGCTGTGCCATTGGGAGAAGATACTGGAATTTGGTTTCTCCCAGCTCTGAAGGCTGAGTCTAGTGTTTACCTCCTTGACCCTGAAAGGGTATGCCTCTGTTCCCCCTGGAGTGGACTTGACCTGGCCATGAAAAGGCTACATCCTTGAATTGGTTTCCATTAAATGAGATGGGGGGAGGGGATGGGAGGATATACACACAAATGAAAAGCATACACTTGCCAACCCCTACATCTGTCTTCCCCCTCCCCCTTCCTCCTGTCCTCAGCCTCTGACCTCTTAGTCTGGGCCCAGATCATTTGGGTGCAGCCAGTGTTCTCTTTTCGTCTCAGAGATCCCACCTACCAGAGGAAATACACTTAGACTCCTCCATTATTAAAATACTCGGAAAAAAACAAGATGTGTTAAGCGGGCACAGCTCAGGAAGCCTTTTCCCTGGTGGAGTGTTGATGAACTGATGCATTGTCAATGTTCCTTTTAAGGGGGGTTGAATCTCATAAGCAAACCAAACCTACTGCCATCGAGTTGGCTGCCAATTCCCAGTGACCTGAGAGAACAGAAGTTTCCCCATGAAGTTTCCAGGACTGTACATTTGTCTAAGGATGGTCACATCTTTCTCCTGCTGAATGGTCAGGGGATTCGAACCACCACCAACCTTTTTGGTTAGTACCTAATGCTTAACCACTTCGTGTGTTCCAAGCCTACTGCAGTTCATGGGAATGAAGACTGGGAGCAGTGGTGGGGAACAGCTAGCAGTACCTTTTAGGGAGGGCTGATGCCTCCCTAAAACATGTATTGACCTGCATGAAAATGCAGTTTCTAAAGGAATCCGTTATGCACTCTTATTTTATCCTTGTGTTTCTTTCTATGGAATGAAAAAAAAAAGGAAAGGAAAGAAATCACAGCTTACTTTCATAGCAAACTGGATACATGTCCGTTCATCAACTTGATAGGAGAAACAAAGCATAAACAAGCCAAGATAGGCCACTAAGCAGACCTGCAACGAGAGAAAGGATGCTGTCAGGACAAGTCACGCATTCCAACGCCATGCATCCTGGGGTCCTTCACCAGCAGCGTCCTCCTTATCAAGCGGTTCCTTTCATGTGCTTATCTTTGTATGCTGTTTTTCTCCTTGGCATGGCTTGTGGGATACAGTTTTTAAAACAGTAAAATCAATTTAGTTCAATTTAGTTCATATTTATTGAATCCTTTTAGTGAGCCAAGCACTTCACAACGCCCTTCAACAAACACAGTGATGGCTAAAACGTCCTTAACCATAGCAATTTTATAGTCCAGTAAGGCCAAGGCATGTTCACACACAATTTGAGACAGGGTATTAGATGCCGACTGCTACTCAGAGAAGAACACAAAGAGGGAGAAATGACATTAAGTTGGGTAATTGATAAAGGCTTGACTAAAGAGTAGTAGACTTAACAGGACCTTAAAAAATTTAGGAACAATAATAATCGTTACTATTTTACTGGCCACTTATTATGTGCTCGACTATGGATTATGTATTGGGCTGTTGACTACAAGGTCAGAAGTTCCAAGCTACTGACCACTCCACGAGAGAAAAAGAGGCTGTCTGCTCCGTAAAGATGCGCAGTCTTAGACACGCTGTATAGAGTCACTGTCAGTCTGAATTGACTCTGTGGCAAGGGGTCTGTTTGAAGATGCTTCTAAGGGATTTATACGTATAGACACATGTGATCCTCATCACCCCCAAACCCCACTGCCTGTGAGTTGATTCTAATTCACAGTGACCCTATAGGACAGAGTAGAACTGCTGCATCGGGTTTCTGAAACTATAAATCTTCAGAGAAGCAAGCTGCCTGGTCTTTCTTCCAAGGAGCAGCTGGTGGTGGATATGAACCACCAACCTCTTGATTGGTAGCCCCACATTTAACCCACTTTACCATCACTCACAGCTACCCACTGCCATTGTGTTGATGCATGCTCAGTGATCCTATAGGACAGGGTAGAAACAACTGTGGGTTTCTGAGACTGTAACTCTTTACAGGAGTAGAAAGTCCCTACTTTTTCATGGTTTTGAACTGCTGAACTTGCACTTAGCAGCCCAACTCGTGAAGACTCCTATAATTTTGACACGATCCCTGTAAAATAGATGCTAGTATTCCCCTCAGGACCCCATATAGTGCTACTGGTTTGCACTTGGTGACTAACCATGAAAAAGGTGGCAGTTTGAATCCACCTAGTAGAACCCAAACAGAAAGGGCTGGCAACTGCTTCCCTGTTCCCGGAGCTCCGTTAGCACAGGTCTATCCAGAGAGAGATGGGGAGAAAAGGCGCAGTAGAAGCACTCTGGACATCTCAGCTGCTGCAGGGCAGGTGGGACAAGAAATAGAAAGTGGCCCCAACTTTCTGGATCTCAGTGACCACAGGAAGATGAGGGTTGCGCGGACTCAAGGAAGGCTGGTCGGGGGAAGAGCTGCGGTGTGCGGAATGAGCCTGGACTTGGTCAAACTGGTTTTCTCTGTCCAGTGCACCGGAGAGACAAAGCCTGATCGCAGCTATGAAATGAGAAGTTGGGGGTTCAAGTCCACTTGGAATCACTTGGAAGAAAGGCCTGGTAATTGACTGGGAAAGCAGCCATTGGAAACCATCTGAAGCCCAGTTCTGCTCTGAAGGACACGGGCTCCCCAAGAGTCAGAATCAACTGACGGCAACTGCTTACTCCTGGTTGTAGTTGGTTGTTATCCGCAGAGTCCAACTCATAGCCGACCCCATGTATGCTGAGCAGACCTGCTTCATGAGGTTAGTATGAAGCGGAGGAGCTTTCGGAGGACGATCTCATGTTTGTAGTGCCTCCAGGTAGGTTGGAATAGCCAACCTTTGGGCTAATTATTAAATGCCCCGTGGCCTAGTGGTTACTTTGCTGGGCTGCAATCTGCAAGGTCCAAGTGCAAAACCACCAGTCACTCCCTGGGAGTAAGACAAGGCTCTCTCCCCCCAGAAAGAGTTGCAATCTCAGAAACCCACAGGGGCAGTTCTCCTCGTCCTCTAGGGGTGCTATGAGTTGACATCAACTCGATAGCAGTGAGGGATAGTCAGCACTTTGTTACTCGGGACTCCTAAAGCATATCTAGTCACATTCCGTTTTGCACACCTTAAAATATTGATCGATTATATACTTCAAGATAGAAAACATAAGTGGCAGCATTGTTTGTTTTGTCCAATAAACAAATGTTTTCCTAAAGAAGAATGTAGGAAGAGGTCTGAAAGACATCCAGCCACTGTATTGGTGGGGAAATAGAGTGCCTATCCCGCCCTATGCCCAGCTTCAAAGCACAGTCCACCCCTTTGAGGGTGGAGCGCTATGATCTTGGCTTCTGAAGCTAGCACTTCTCCCTCGTCCATTCATCAATTGTACCACTGCGAAATTGCTGTGCACTCGTCAATCCCCAAAGTAAGCATGCTTCATGATTCTCCTAGGCCATGAAACCAGAAGCCACGTCTTCTCTGTAGCACAGGCCATTCCCAGGGTTTTCTGTCATCAGGGCGGCTGCCTGCTTCAACTTCAATAGACAGCATCTCTGAGGGGAGGAAAAGCACGGAATGTGTGGCATGGACGGGAGGTCTGCTTAGAAAACACAGCAAACAGGACCCAGGTAGGCGTTTTCAGCAGCAAAGAGGCAGATGCAAAAGTGATGGTACTGAAATTATTTGTATGACTGATAGGCCAAACTGTGGCTAACGTTTCCAGCCAGAGATGAAGCTCTTTGTTAAAGCTCATAAACACACACACACAAACTGAGATATAAATCTGATATTTACAGGCTTAAGAGGCAGCAGAATTGAAACGGGCTGGGAAAACTTCTTTTTCTTTATTGGCAGCAAACCAGGTAGAGACTTCTGAACCTACTTCTTGGGGGACTGCTGCATCCCTCAGCACATTCCTTTGCTCCCTTGTTAGTCTCTGTCTGCAGGTGCTCAGGGCAGGGCTCGCTCCCACACAACTGTCTTGGTCCCTAGAGGCTGCTCGGCTGAAGTTAGCAATTGTTGAAACGTTCCTCTTTGCCTTTTCAAGAGGCCCATTCGCCTTCCACTGATCGGCCTAAGGGACCGGCATCTTCAAACATCTGACTCAGTGCCTCTGCCTGAGAGACAGCTCCCATTGGGGGGTGGGGGGTGGGGGCTGGTGTATCTGCTTCTTTGTAGCCTTCATCTAGGCTGGCTTCCAACATGAAGTTGCACACGAACATATGACCTCATTCTAGAGCACTCGACTTCTTCCATCAACAGCCCTTTATGAAAAGCCATTACACAGTCGGGGCCTAAGAAAGACGCTAGCAAACACGAGGTGCCAAGCCATAGCCCCAGCCTTCAAGGAGCAGTCAGTCCACTGGGCGACGAGAGGCGAGCGGATAGCTCCGTGTAACACTACATAAACCCTAGGAGGTGACTGGCCCAAAGGAAGCCTGAGGAGACTTCCTGGGGTGGCGGGAAAGGCGGGGTGAGTTTTGAAAGATAGGCAGAAATCGGCTAAGAGAAGGATGTTCTGGGCGGAGAGAGCACTAGTAGGTACAACAGTATAGAGAAAGGAAGAGTACCCATGTGAGGAAGGCTGGGAACAGCCTGCGCCAGAGAGAAGCTGGGCAGTGCTTGGGGTCCCGATGCCAATAGGCTCAGCTGCCAGCAAGAGTGGAGGTTCCAGTTCCATGATCCACTTCCCAGGAACCGGCCATCGAACGTCCTAGGGAGCACGGTTCTACTCTCACACCCCTGGGCCCCTTTGGGAGGGAGCGGACCCTCCGACTCCTGGTTTCTTGTCATGAGTGGAGTGCAGCACGGAGAGAAGCAAGCAGAAAGAGACCCCTTTGGGGAGGTCGACCTGACCTGGGTCACCAAGGCCCCCGTCTGTCGAGGATGGAGGATGTGTTCAACAGGGTACCATTTGTCGACTGCGTCTTCTGGGAAGGGCCCAGGGCTCTGATGAAAGGATGGGGTCGGGTAGGGAGAGCAGGTAGGAGGCTAGTCCTTATCTGTTGAGAAATGAGGAATGTCTGTGCTGAGGTCCAAGTGGGGAAGGGGAGTGTTGGAGTGGAGGCAGAGAGCAGAATGGCTGGGCTCAGAGGCCTGATGAGCTGTGAGGGCTTCTCATGAGCGAGAGGGAGAGGTCCAGGCTGGACCTTGAGCCGCCTGGAGCGTGGCACTGTCCTTTAAAGACACCTGAGGAAACGAGGGCGGAGAGGCAGTGATGAGACCCACATGGGCACGCTTCTCAGCCACCACCTGGGCCTTGAGTTCAGGAAAGAGCTGTTGAAATCCTAGGAGGTGCTGTGTCAGCCAAAGCATGTCCTGAGGAAGCAGGAGGGAGCCCAGGGTGTTGCCCAAGGAGGAAGACCCTATGCGTCTCTGAAACAGAAAGACACTTCTGGAAACTTTGGTGGGACAGCTAGGAATCTGGACACTTTGATCCTCCCTATGGATTTCTGAAAGCTGTGCTCCCAAAGCCTTGTAGAGGATGTTTGCCATCAAGCTTGAATCAGTTCGATATGTTTGAACCCCTTCCCTTCGGCGAGGGGCTGGCAGGAAGGCTCTCCTTCCATTGCCGACAGATTGGCATGTTGTGGTGACACGTCTTTAACAGAGAGCTTGTTGGGACCGAGTGTAAGCACCTTCTGCGTAACGTTTATGCAACGGAAGGCTTCATGGCCACGGGAAAAAGCTGGATTTCTCATGCCAGATTCAGTGTCTTGTTTCCTGGGATGGCAGGACATGGACTCGCCTGGAAGACACAGTGTTCTGACTTCCCCGGCAGGAAGAAGGGAGGAGTTCATGTTCATGAGCACCGAGGCCTGTATCTGGGCAGCATTCCTCGCGCTCGGGCCAGAGCTCCCATTAGCTGTGGTGAGGTGAGGCCCACGGGACAGGAAAACAGCCGTTTGGCCAGGCTTTGAAGAAGGCACTCGTTGAACCAGACCCCCAGGCCTGGGGCACACAGGTGGTGTCAGGAGCGTAGAGCCCATTGGGAAG